AGGGAAATGCTTGCTAGATGTGCGTACAGTGCCACGACCATAGAGACCAATCGATCGTAAAGTCTTCAACAGCAAACAGGAAGTGTAGAAGTTGTCCGTGTTTGCAATGCGACTGGATCCTTTCAAAGATGAAGTAACCGCCATGACGTGAGAGCGGATTTCAGACGACTTCGCGGTTAGATCAGCGAATTTCTGCACTTCTGAGCGTGAAATTACACCGTCCAGCCGATCATCAAGTTCACTGGAGCAGTGCAACTTGAAACTCACCGCGTACCACGAGGTAGAACAGCAACACACGTATAACTTGAAATGATACTTTCCGGTGGGTTTTTGTGGGTTGAAGACTATAATGTGGCGGGCGTACTGGGATCGGCAGGCAATTGTGGCCTCATCAACAGCCACGTTTCGACCGACTTCAACATGGCGCAGGCATCGCGATTTCAGAATGCTCATGAGTGGTCGTATTCTAGCTACAGGACCGCGCTTGATGTCGGAGGTAGACACCTTGGAACGAAAACTCAAATTCTTACGGATGTACAGGAATCTTCGCCATGTCATAATTGACTTCAAACTAGTAGTACGCGCTCCAGGAAAAAATAGTTGCTTCCTCGACGTCCACCCAGTAATTTCTCATCTCACCCTTGTCGAACAGAGTCATGTACCAGAGGATCCCATCCGGATGTGTAAATAGCCCTGACGGTTGGCCAAGCGATGCTGTGGGTGAAAATGTCATTGACGCTATCTCTTCGACTTCACCAGGGCACAAAGGGCGCTGCAATTCTTTCCGCCCGCGAAACGCAAACCACTCACGATAACCACGCTCGTCCATCTCCTCAAATTCATCTGTCAGTGCAGGAATGTTTGATAGTTTGGGGACCATGTTGCACAGGGACGTCCAAGACTCTCCAAATTGAAGTTTGTCTTTTTCCATGTTGGCAAACTGGCGGATACCACGGGTGATGATGGCTTCGGAAACATGGTGAACGTGATCTTTTATTTGAAAAGCAGTACACGTCCATTGAACCTGAAATTTGTCGTGAGGAACGCTAACATTGTCAGCATTTTTTTCGCTTGCCAGGCTGTAGCGAGTCACCACACTAATCAAAAATGCTGCGCCAACGTCGCGTTACAAACTGAGCGGCATCCACTCCTCATCAGCCGGTGAAAATGCTACGCTAGCATCAACAAATTTTTCGGCAGCCGCATGTGCTCGGCGAATCAACTCTTCTTTCATTGCCACAGCCTTGGGTTTACTGGCCTTGGTAGGTGCCTTCTTGCTTTTCGTTTTCCGTTGCGCACCTTGGTTTTCGCTTCGGGGTGCCTTTGGAGCTGATTGTTCGGCAGGACCGCGCTTTTTTCGCTTAGGTTTTGCTGCCCCCGAGCAATTTGTAGCAGGATGTGTGGCGGCGTTGGTCTCTGCAGGTTCCGACGGAGCCACACTTGGCGTCAAAACACTCGCGGGGAGGTCAAGTAGGGCATTGGGTCGTTCATCACTTCTCCCTTGGTCCACCAAGTTCGTTTTTGTAGCGTTTGTGTTGCAAAGCGTGCTGCAATAGCTGCTATCACCGAAATCCTTGGCGAATCCACCATTAGGGTGTGGGATATTCAACGAAACGCAGACATCATGAGAGCAGAAGTGATGGAGAAATTTTTTGCACCAGGTACAACTGCGCTCGGTTGAACACTCCATATTGCAGACTGTACATTGCGCACATGTACCAGACGATGCGGTGGGTGCGTGGTGATCTAGCTGGAGTAAATGGTCTCGCGTAGCTGCTGCATGTACGGGTACGACGCGCGCTGATGTTGGCGGTGTAGATACAGCAGAGGCAGCACCATCATAATCCTGAGAGGTGCTGGCAGCACCATCAAACACCGATTCGTGACAGCTTACTCCCGGAAGCGCGGCTTTCTCACAATCAACGTCGTTTGCACTCGCTCCAGGAACTCCGCCGCTACTACCACGTACATCATCTGCCGCGTTGAGACCAACATCGCCAGCCCCACATATATTAACGTTGTTTTGGTCGACATCAATTTCGTCATCGGGTCGCCTGGACAGGGCACCATCCGTATCACCATCCTCCACTACCAATGTCCGCCGATAGTGCTCCAAAAGCGCTCGTTCACCCAGAAAATAGTCGATACCCTCTGTTCCATTCGAGTCACCACCGGGACGGATATAGCGGTACAGATCACTCAAGCTTCGCCCTGTTGGACGCTTTGAACTCCAACCAGCCGCACTTAGAACTCGCCAAACAGATCCAAACATCGCATGGTCATCCGCGAGGTCTGTATGCCGGTGGATACGCGTCAATATGATACCTTGCTCGAGCGCTAGGTAAGCAACGGATCGTACCTAGACCGGTGGGAGCTGAAGGTGAGATACGACCCGAGCGTCGTGATTGTTGTCGCTTAGCTGTGGGCTCGCAGGTGCTCGACCGCTGCTTCCGCTTTCGTGGCATTGGGTATGTGGTGGTGGACGAGCTCAGCTAGCGTACCAGTGGCTCCTTCACGGCAAAGATCTCTAACTGGTTTGCATGCATCGGTCTCGCTTGAGCCATTGGACCGAATATATTGTTATTTGTATGGCCATGTTCGAAGTGTTCAAAGGGACCGAACGTACTAGGCTTTGTATGGGGTGGTTCGACTCATCGTTGTATGTGATGTTAGTATGGTGGAGTTTGAACCCACCGGTGCAGGTTCAATGCCCGCCATGCGGAATGCAGCGTAGCTGTGCTGATAAGGTACCGTGCAAAATTCATCGGATATCGAGTGCGGGATGAATACAGTGTAATTACACAGAGTCATGAATAGTACGAGTACTCAAAGCGTTCAACGGTAACATACGGTACTTAGATTTACTCCAGTATTGCTACCAAATGTAAGTGCTGTAGCGGCTTCGGCATCGTCTCCACAGTTACGTTGACCCATGCAAGCCCCATAGTGACGGTCCGAACTACGGTACACGGCGACAGTGGTGACGCCCATCGTAGATACACTGCTGCCAAGTGCCAATGCCGCCTGCGTGTCCCTGTCGCTGGGCAAATTGGGCGCTTGCGACGTCGTCGTCATGGCGACTTCAGGCTCCATCTTGACCCCCGATGGGACTCGAACGCTCCATTTCTAGCGGTAGCCTCTCTTGATCTTTGTCGCCGGTGGCACCCCGCTCCCTCCTGAGGCATCTACGTGCGGTTGTCCGTCGATGAGGATCGCTGGAAGCGAAAAAGGGCGGGAGAACGCCGTCCACCTGCAGGTCTAGTGGGCAGTCGTCCAGTGCCGCCTCCGACGCTCCATCTCGGGGTCCTGTAGCGGAATCTCGGCGTCTCGCAGCTGAACGTGGTTGACAGCCACACCCGGCGGCAATGCCGTGAGGAGAGTTGGGGACTACGGGACAAACGACACCATCCCAGCGCCAGTTCTAGTAGCACTGCGTTATCGACAACAAATGCGCTGTTGCGGCGGTTGTGCGGGACGTGGTCGTCGGGTTGGTACACGACGGACAGCGAGTCCAACTTCATGCCCGGTGCGTCCCGAGGTCAGCGCGTCAAGTAGCACAGGCGGTCAGCAGCAGCAGATGCGTCGACACACAGGAGCTGAGCGTGTGGCGACTCCAACGACGCTGGACTTGGAGAGTGAGGGGCGAACTGGCAGGCTGGACTTGACCGCAGCGTGCATAGTATCACGGGCAGCCACGCGCCGTAAACGATGGGTACGGCCAGCACATGTGTACCACCGTCGTTCGAGGCGTGGAAACCGGAAGAACGGAGCGTGGTCAGCCAGGGACACTTGGGATCGAGCTTGCAAAATCGGAAATGAGCTCCGATGCGAGAAGGTCATTTTGATTCGGAGCAAGCCGAGCAAGCCGACCAAACAACAGTGGATCGATTTGAACTAATTCCACCAATCACACTTCTTGTTGAACTTTGGCAGCCAATCACTGTCATCGATTTTTCGGAGACAGGTTTTGATTGGTCAAAGCGAAGACATGAAAAAAAATGTCAGCGCGGGAAAGCTTGAAAAGATCAACCAAAGCAAAATGGGCACCAAAAAGGCGAGCCTTTACATGTTGTGTAAACCAC